CGTGGGAGGGGGGTTGGGTAGTAAGGGGTGGGGGGTCAAGGGCAGGGGTGAAAAAAATAAAATTTTGAAACTGAAAATATTTTTTGAGAACAAACTTAAAATTATTTTTTTTGGGGGGGTGGTTGGGGGCAGGTTTGAGGGTAGGGACAAAATAAATTGATTTTTTCAACAAAAAAATAATTGTAATTTGAAGTTGGAAGAGAGTTTTGGAAAATGTTTTCCATAAGTTTTGAAGGGAAGTCATTTTCCTTAAATTTGAGGAAAATGAGTTGATTTGGAAAACATTTTCCAAAACATTTAACCCAACCAAACATGAGAAAATTGGAAAACATTTTCCGGAAAATGTTTTCCTTCATACCAAACACACCCTTAGTTTCTAATCAATATAATTTATGATCTTTTCTCTAAGTTTTTTGTTTCCGAATAAATTCTCTGTTTTTGAGTGGACATTGAGCAAGGAAGGAACAACAAAAAGAAGCCAAAAGTGTAGTTTAGCAGTAAAATGAAGCAAGAGAACTATCAGGTATCCGTCTCATGTTCAAATTCCAGCAAAACCTATAACACTAAGCAATCAGTACTTGAACTGGTGGAGGTAGCAGTTGCAAGAGCTGGCGTAGACACGTTTAAAAAAGGAACTTAAAAGGTCACCGATAACAAATACACAAATAGTAACTAGGGACACATATCTGGAACAAAAAAAGAAGCCAAAGGTGTGGTCTAGCAGTAAATGAGCACGAGAACAAAATTCACATCATCTTGGTATCACAGAGATATAGGAAAACTACTTTTTTGTCTCAAACTACTATACCATCTATGGATCTTCATATAACCTTAGTCGTCCAATAATACAAGCTCATGAATTTCTATCTGTTTGTTCTTTCCTAACACTGCAAATTAGAAGCTTTAGACTAGGCTAATTCTTTAGAACTGAGGCAAAAACTAGCGGCAAAACACAGAGAATCATCATAGACCCTTTTTAGTAGGAATTAAGATAAACTTCACCTCTTATTGCCAAATGCTTGAGCATGACTTCTGGCAAGAATAACCATCAGAGCACCAATTCCAGCAGCCATCCCAGCTCCAAAGCAGAAAGAAGGCATGTGAACAATTGATCTTCCTTTGTTTTGCATCAGTTCCCAATGCAGTTGAACATCATCTGCGTGCCATAAGCTCATGTGTACAGCCAGTGTCATTTTCAGATCAGAATCAAGTGGTGTGCTTAGAACTTGTAAGCACACTGGACAAGAAGCTTTCAAAGTCATTCCTTCTTCCATTATAGCGACTCTTCCAGCAACTGCCATCGCCTTATCTCGCAATGGCTTTCCAAAGGGCCTAGAAATCTACACAAGGATTTTAGCTTCAGAAGAAGATAAATTGCAAGATTTGCTAATAAGCATGACTTAGTGGCAAGTCAAATTTCAATTGAAGTAACTGGCTTACTATTATAAGCCTACAGAGCCGCTGCCAAGACTTCAACAGCTGCCTCCTCATCTTCTAGGACTGACTACTGTGAATAGTCAAAATGAAAGAAGTTCTCTGCAATGATCTTTCAGGAAAAGAAATAAATCAAAATAAAGTATCACGAAAGTTCAATACGTGTTTCCTGGGATGTTAAATATTAGCCAGGTGGTAAGGTCTAGTGGTTAATGAAGTGGATTGAGAACCGCGAGTTCTCACGTCTAAATACTAGTGGAGGCGAAAACATTAGGCTATATCTTCTATGGTAGAACTTATAAGCATAAGATACCCCGTGGAATCAGTTGAAGCACTCAAAAGTTTGGCTCGGACACTGCGGTTATAAAAGAAAACAATATTAGTCCTTTTTATGATTCTAGTTCTGTAAATGATTTTTTACCTAGTTAAACACAAACCTCAATGAATCCTAGACAGAACGATAATCTAAAGTCTAAACCTATGTTTCACGCTTAGATAAGGTTAAGAAGGATTTCAAATAATTTATTCAATATCTGAAGAAATATCCACCAAAAAAATTGAAACAACAACATACCCAATGTCATCCCACAACCACAAGTGAGGTCTAGAAATGTAGGATGTACGTAGCATGTACCACTGGCTTTGTGAGGTAAAAGGTCGCTATCCCATCTGTATGGACCAAGGCCTTGTCACGAACCAGATTCAAACTGGTGCTTTCCAAATGCACATTGGGCATAGTGCCCAGGTGGTTTGGCCAATAGTGGGCCAAGAAAGATTAAATGGTGACGTAGGCGGGGGTTTCCGAGGAATACAAATAACCTCTGTTTTTTTTCAGCTTTGGCGAGCATCTGGATAACTAGTGAATTACAACTCTATGTACATCAATTGGGGCATTGGTCTTTGCAGCGTTAATGCTTTTTGCTGGTTGGTTTCATTATAATAAAGCGGCGCCAAAATTGGCTTGGTTTCAAGAAGTAGAATCTATGTTGAATCACCATTTGGCAGGGCTACTAGGACTTGGGTCTCTCTCTTGGGCCGGGCCTCAAAAAAGAAGGGGCACAACACTTTATTCTCTTCTACCGCTCTTTGTTTACTTCTGGCCTACCCGAACTCCTACACCGGGGGAGTCAGATCTTGGAGTAAGCTCCCTTCTATGGGCAATCTACTCAAGAGCTGAGCCTTATGTCCCTTCAACATTCCTATTCATCTTACCTTGTCTTGGGCACAAGCAGTGGACTTATTATCCTATATATAATATCTACTCTAAAGATTAAGAGGATAGAGAGTCTCACTTCCATAGATTCGATTGGGATTGATTCTCAGGATCGAGCCCTTATTAGAGGCGTGCCTATCGATACTTGTCAAAGTCTTCGGCATGCACGACGTCTCCTTCCATTTGCTCCAGAGGTTGTTTCCGATAGAAACTCGACACAATGACGCATTACCAAACCAGGCAAAAAAATAAAATAAAAATTGGAGCATTGAGTAAAATTAAACTAAAGGAAGTTATGCATTGCTCTTTCACTAAACCATTTCACGATTCTTCTGATAGCAACCCAACTCCAACTTAAAAGTCATTTTTTTCTCTCTTCCTAACAGAATTCTTACAGGTTGATTGATGCTTCAAATTCAATGAACTACACTTTATTAAGCCAAAACGACCAATTCAACTATAAAACCCACATTAGCATTATAATGAGCAACTGTAGTGCTACCTATTTAAGCAGGAATAGAGTAATTTCTCCGTTTCTTGTTGTAAAATTAAACGCAAAATTTTCAAATACAGCTGGAGAATCTACAATGCACTTATCGATTTCTTAGCAAGTTCAAAGGAATGCACATATATGTACTATCATCTGTTACTGTATTAGAGCTAAAAAGAAATTCCGACAGAAGGGTACCGTGCTGAAGCAGCTTCGCCGGAAAAACCTTGCCGACGATCTTTGAGTTTACCGCATATGTAAGTTAATTTGGTGGAAGAGGAGAATTCTTCGGAAAAGTAGAAATTGGGAAAGTTGTCTTGGTGGTGAAGGAAGAAATTAAAATTCCACTTATGTAATATGCCATAAATTAAAATAAGCAGAAGTTATAAATTAATCGACCCTAAAATAGTCATAACTCATAAATAGGGGTGGGCATGTTATGTACAATACAATATTTGAAAGTTTTTGATATGGTAATTTTGGTATTTGATTTTTAAAAATTATATCATTATTATATTAGTTTAATTGGGTATGATTCGGTATATTAAAGTTCGATTTTGGTATTTTACAGTATGATAAATCAATAATCATAATTTGTTTAATTTAGATTAATATATATTCGTATTATAGAGTATTATGAATTCGACAATTTAAAAATGTCTCAATTGTATCATACTAATACATTACACATGTAGAAATATATAAAATATCTAAATAAAGTAGAAATATATAAAATACAGTTTATAGTAATACTAGGTTGCATATTTGTTAGTATTTTAATAATATATATGTTATTTATGTAACTATATATTTTGAAATGATATTCGATATTTCGGTATGTTATTTCCAAATACCAAATATCGCATCGAATACCAAAAAAATTAAAATGTATACCATATCAAATACCATAATATCAAAATCACGATATTAAAATTTTTAATATAATATAATATTTCAATATATACCATATCATGCCCATATCTATTTATAAACGTATACGTATATTGTTATTTTTTGCAAAGAATCTTTGGTGGAATGTATACAGCTTTAAAAGTGAAACATGAATTAAGAAATATGTCAATTAACTATTTTCTAATGTTGAAATATAACTTCAAATTTAATTTAAAATTATCATGATCGAACAATAATTTCAAAGTAAAATAAAAATTACGTACCAAAATACTTGTAAATATTATTGATGGCCAAACAGAGGCTTGATAATTTTTTAATTTTCAAAATACTTTTCCATAATACAACTCGTAACTTCCTCTTCATTTTATATATGTCATTTGTCTATTTACGTAATAAAAAAAAGAGCAACTTTCACATATAGCAAATACAAAAATTATATTTGTATGTTATAGTTATAGTTTGCATAATTGTGCTCCATAACAAACATAAATATGTATATTTCGCTATACATATACAAAAGAAAACAGTTGTATATAATTTGTATCTGTTTCGGTATACATATACAAAAGATCAATTGTATAATTTGTGTTTGTATAAAGCGAGAAAAAGAGAAAGGCAAAAGAGAACTGGGCAGGGGAATATTTGTATTGTATAATTATAAGTGTATAGGACGAAGATATATGTATTTGCATGTGTATATACAATTTTCTCTCGCTTTATACAAATAAAAACGCAATTTATACATTTGCGTTTGTATAAAAGCGAGAGAGGCGAGGGAGAGAACGAGAGTAGCGAGTGAGATTCACCAGGAGAGAGGCGAATAACAACAGTTTGATATAGGGTACAATTAAATCAAACTATATTTATAACATTTAATTTAAATTAATAATTTGCTATTATATACAATTTTCCATAAAAAAATACTTGTAAATTTAATATAAAAAAGAATTTTATTATTTTAATTCAAGCAGGCTCTAGGAAGGATTATTGTAAAATCCGAGGGGCAATTTAACAACGAGGAGCTTGTCACTGAGAGCATGTTTGGCTTAACTTAAAAAAAATATTCCTTATGTCCATTTTTATTTGTCATTTATTTCTAACATAAATTTTTATTTTTACTTATCATTTTTGACATATCAAGAAAAATAATATATTTTTTTTCGTGTTTTACTCTCAACATTAAATACTTATTCTCCAAAATCTAATATTAAACATCATTTAATAGAGATAGTTAGATAAAATACTTATATTAATTATTATTTATTTAATGAATGTGTCTAGTCAAACAGTGACAAGTAAAAATAAAATAAAAAGTAATTTTTTAAAAAGTCACACTTTAATAACTTTTGAATTAAAAAATGAAAAATAGGAAAATACATACTTTTAACTTTTTTTATGTCATTTTAACCTGAAGATTACAATAGTTATGCGTGAATTAATTTTTCAAATAGGGTCGTTTGATAGAGTGTATTGGAGAAAATAATGCTTGCATTAGCTTGATGTATTATTAGTACCTTGTTTGGTACACTTTTCTAACTTATGTATAACTAATGCTTGTATTAGTAATACACTCTATTGTGTATTGAAGAGTGCATTACTAATACCATCTATTTCTATGCATTAGTAATGCAATGAGTTATAATGCATGCATTAACATTATTGAAGACACAATTGCCCTCAAATTTTTTTTTTACATCCTTTCCATTATATTTGTGTAGGGTATTTTTGTAAACAAATATTTTTTCTAAAAAAATTATGTAATGCATAATATTTTTTCATAATTTTATGTAATGCATAATATTTTTAGTACACCAAACCAAATATTGCATAAAAAAAATTTCATCATAACTAATGCAAGCATAACTAATACAAACATTACTAATACACTATATTTTGTATTATTCTTATACACTTTACCAAACGACCCTATATGTATAACTAATGCAAGGGACTACTAATACACAAAGTTAATGCATGCATTATTTTTGTTAATACACTCTACCAAACGACCCCTACTGCAAAACATTGTACAATTTGATGTGTCATCTCAACTTATTCATGTTATCTCCTATATTCAGATTAACAAATCAGAAACAATTAAGATGAAAAGAAAAACAAAAGAACTATTCGAGTCCACAAAGCTCAGTGTGTGTCCTTAAGAAATTGAATTCCCTCAAGTACCCGAGTTTGTAGATTAATTCCCCCTAAGATAAAACAGATTAACCATTAACGAAGTAGTGATACCTCAAACTTCGATAATTTCAATGAACTCAAAAAGACAATAACGAATCACACATACAAACATGATCGACATATTTTATTTTGTAAGAAATATATACATAAGAAGAGAAAAAATCGATGCAGAAAAAATGAGAGAAAATCTCTAGCCAACTAAGGGTAAAAGTCCTAACTTTTTGAAAAAAAAGGACAACTTTTCAAAAAGGTTACAACCTTGTGAAAAAGACACAACCTTTCAAACGGTCACAATCTCTTAGAAAAGACACAACATTTCATAAAAGTCACAACCCTTCATTTTCTATTCACACCTTTAAAACTCAACAATTCAATCATTAGTATTTTTTTTATTAAGAAAAGCCTGCTTTTTACCCCATTTATTTAATTTTATATATATGAAAGTGAAATGAATTTTAAGCTTTTTTATTTTTTATTTTTTTGATATTCACTATGCATTTAGTTGACTTCCTCTTCTTTTTTGTTTTTGTTTTACTTACTTAGTAATAAACGTCTCTATAAATAATAATCTGATTACGTTAATTTACAAATTAGCTAGTGACTTTAGTATTTTGGTTAATTATTTATTCCTTTAGTCAAGATTTTGGTCATTTGTATTACAATCTGGTATATTATAGAGTAACATAGATGACTAATACATAATTGATGCTATGCTGATATCATGCATGAAAAAAAGAGACATGGACAGGTCTAATAACCTGCATCAATGTTGTCAACACAATAGATATTTCATTTTTCGTCTCAAATAATTTATCATATTGTTTTAATTATTTCAAATTATTTGTTATTTTTAAAATTTTAAGATAATATTAATTATTTATTTTCATTTTACTTTTAATAGTTATTATTCTTGAAGACTACAAATCAAACACTTCAAATATTATTGATGTTCAAATATCAATGAATGATAAAATATTTAATATATCTCCTACTAATATTTTTTTAAAAGACGTGTAAAAAGATATCATAATAGATAATTTGACCATCATAAAAAATTCATAAAGATTGTTATTCATTTTGGCTATATTTGTTTTATTTTTTATTTTTTCATTTTCTCTGTGTTTTAAATTTTATACTATCCACCATGAGATAGATAATACCTCATTTAATATCGTTAAGGAAATATGATAAAAAAAATAATCATAAATTTATAAAAACAATTCTTGACTTTGAGTGTTTTACCATCTATACAAACATACTGTAGAATCAAAGGCAATTAACATTTAACAAAGAAAGTTGACATAATTTGGCTCTCTCAATTAAAAAAATTTGAAGTATTTGAGACTTTTTACATTGAAATAAAAATTGACTACAAACGTAAATTCTTTGATATTTTACCAATACCCATTTATATATGTATAGTATTTTTTTTTTCTTATTCAGTCATTCGCTAAAAATAATAATAATATTAAGACCACTTTTTTTTTCTTCCATTTAATTATATGAAAGTCAAATGAATTTTAAGTTGTTTTTTTTTTGCAATTATACATTATGGTGCTTTAGTTAACTTCCTCCCTCTCTTTTTGTTTTGTTTTATTTAGTTAGTGGAGTAATAAACATCTTTATTAATTAATTACACTAAAGACCCAAGACTATACGGTAACAAATCACTAAATTTCTTCTTATCCTACTTTTCTCAGTAAACTACTTAATGAAGTAATTAACTCTCCAATTCTTTTAGCAAAATAAAACTGATGCAGATTTGCTTGCTTACAACTTATATAAGCAATTAAATGCAAATACTAATTAATTGGGAAGAATGACAATTAATTTAATTAATTTTCCAAAAAGTAACTCCATGGTATCCAATTGTAATGTTTATTCTTACGGTAATTTCCGTTTTATCTAATGGACTTAATTTTAACTCCTATCTTAAGTGAATATTACGACTATAAATTGTATGCCCACAACAAAGCTATTATTCAAAACAAATCAACTAGTGAGTTGAAACTAATTCAAAGAAAAATTATTTTTAGCTAAAATGGCGAAACACCAAAGTTTCTTCATTATATTTATTACATTTGTTACTATTTTTTTAGTAGAAACATATGAAAGTAAAAAGGTTGAAGAAAATTTGGCTGCCCAGGGATGGATAAATGCTCGTGCTACATTTTATGGTGACATGGGGGGTGGTGGAACTATGCGTAAGATATACTTGTACCTTAATTCCTTACCTATGTTGTTGAGGCACTTATCGTAGTGTCAACACATTGACGAAGCTATGAATTTTATTTTTTGAAAAAATATTTGAGATTGATATTCGGTTAAAGTTATTCAATTGACTACCTTTCATTCTATGTAGTGACAACATGATATTAAGATATTTTACAACATGATATTGAGATATGTTGCAACATATAGGCCATAATTGAATTTCCCATCACATTTCGCCTACTGTAGGCCTCCTCTATATAGATTCAGGAATCTAATTAAGCTCACACTAACAAAAGAAAATTATTTTATTTTCATTTATTTGTTCTTTTTCTTTTCTTTTGTACACCCTTCACTCTCATATAAATAAATTTCTTGTACTTTTTTTATGGTCGAAGAAGAAAAATAAATTCAAAGGCCAATATATATTTTTCCATAACGTGTGAGCCAGGATCCTTCAAAAACAATCTCTCTATCTCCATGAGATAAAGTTAAGTTTGGTCTGCATATACTCTGTTCTATCCAAACCTCACTTGATCATATGTGTTATTGTTGATGATGATTTTTCATAACATTAACATTTGTAACAATTTTTTTTTTTTATTTCTATATTGCAGAGGGAGCTTGTGGTTATGGAGATTTATTCAAGCAAGGGTATGGCCTGGAAACAACAGCACTAAGCACAGCACTCTTTAACAAAGGATCTACCTGTGGAGCTTGCTTTCAAATAATGTGTGTGAATGCTCCTAAAGCATGCCATCCAGGCCAAGTCATAACTGTAACTGCCACCAATTTCTGCCCTCCAAATTACACAAAAACTAAAGACGTTTGGTGCAATCCTCCACAACAACACTTTGATCTGACAATGCCTATGTTCATAAAGATTGCAGAGCAAAATGCAGGGGTTGTACCAGTTGTTTATAGAAGAGTTACTTGCCAGAAAAAAGGAGGTCTCAAGTTTGAGATCAATGGGAATTCTAATTGGATTCTTCTTCTTGTTTTCAATGTGGGAGGTGTTGGAGATGTTGTCAATGTTAAGATCAAAGGATCTAAGACTGGATGGCTACCAATGAAGCGGAATTGGGGACAAAATTGGCAGGCTTCTGTGCAGTTGGCAGGACAAACCTTGTCTTTCCAAGTACAAACTAGCGATGGCAAATTGGTTCAATCTGATAATGTTGCTCCTGCTAACTGGCAATTTGGTCAGACATTTGAAGCCAAGAATAATTTTTAGTGAATATGTATTTTGGAAAATCAGTAGTTTTTAATCACTATAGTTTATGATCTTTTCTGTAAGTTTTTTGTTTTCCGAATAAAATCTCTATTGTTCTCTGCAATGATATTTCTGGAAAAGAAATAAATCAAAGTAAAGTATCAGTACGTGTTTCCTGGGCTGTTAAATATTAGCTCAATGGTGAGGTCTAGTGGTTATTAATGAAGCGGATTGGTTCTCACCTCTAAGCGGAGGCGGCAAAAACATTAGGCTATATGTTCTATGGTAGAAGCATAAGATGGAATTAGTCGAAGAACACAAAAGTTTGGCTCGGACACCAATGTTATAAAAGAAAACATTAGCCTGATTCGTGATTCTGGTTCTGTAAATGATATTTTACCTAGTTAAACACAAACCTCAATGAATCCTAAAGAGAACGATAATCTAAACTTACGTTTCAAGCTTAGATAACGTTAAGAAGGATTTCAGATAATTTATTCAATATCTGAAGAAATATCAACCAGAAAAATTGAAACACTAACAACATAGCCAATGTAATCCCACATCACAAGTGAGGTATGAAAATGTAAGAATGTACGTCGAACATATCATTGCCTTTGTGAGGTAGAGAGGTTGTTTCTGATAGAAACTCGACACAATGACGCATTACCAACCTAGGCAAAAAAATAAAATAAAAATTGGAGCATTGAGTAAACTTAAACTAAAGGAATATTATACATTGCTCTTTCACTAAAATACTTCACAATTCTTCGGATATCAAATACAGCTGGAGAATTTACAATGCACCTATCGATTTCTTAGCAAGTTCAAAGGAATGCACATATATGTACTATGCCATGAATTTTGATTCCCTAATTTTTGTTCTGTTTTTTTGGTCATTAAAAAGAGGTAACAAAAATTGGAATATACCAAATCAATAGTAGTTAAAGTATATAATTATTGTATAATATGATATTCACATGATATATATCGTTTCTTTGAAAAAAAATACTTAGTATTCTATAATATCAATCTAGTAAATAGGAGTACCATTTATCGATATGATATCATAGATGACAATTTCATTCATTCCAAAAAAGAAAAAAAACACTATTCAATTTTATTTGATACTCACCATATATATATATCATATACTGCAGACTGATTTATTTATTAAAAAGGTATATAGTCTTTCATGACATTTACAAGATATGTATCATATATCGACACAGTCTCATAAATTTTGTTCACCCCATCAAAAAATAGTTCAATCTTCCATAATATCATTATGATATGTATCACATACTGAGAAGACATCATAAATGATCAATTCATCTCTTCTAAAAGCTAAATCATTATGATATGCCTCACATATTTGTATATGCATCCTATTTTTTTTTTCAGATCATTCGTTACTTTTTTTTTTTATAAAGACAAGCCTATTTATTTTCCCATTTGACTATATGAAAGTGAAATGAATTTTGAGGTTTTTTTTTTCGACATTTACTATGCAATTATAAGTTATTATGCTTTGGTTTACTTCCTCTACAAATAATCTGATTATGTTAAATTCACAATTAATTACATTAAAGACCCAAGACTATAGAGTAACAAACCACTAAATTTCCATTTATCCTACTTTTCTCATTAAACCCGTAGTCAAATGAAGTAATTAATTCCCCCAATTCTTTTAGCAAAAAACTGAAACTGAAATTTATTTTATAGTGAATATTTTGGCTATAAGTATGTCCATAGCAAAAGTATTATTCAAAGCAAATCACCAAGAGAATTAAAAACTAGTTTAGAGAAAAAATAGTTTAAGCTAAAATGGCCAAACACCAAAGTTTCTTCATTTTGTTTATCACATTTATTGTTATTTTTTTAGTTGAAACATTTGAAAGTAAAGAGGTAGAAGGAAATTTGGATGAATAGGGATGGAATAATGCACGTGCTACATTTTATGGTGACATGAGTGGTAACGAAACCATGCGTAAGTTATACTTGTACCTTAATTTCTTATGTATGTTGTCGAGACACCATCGTTGTGTCCCGGACAAGTGACGAAATCAAAATTTTATTTTATTTTTAAAAAAATCAAAGCAATGAAAGTTGCTCATCATCTTTTATTATATGTGCCTATAACATAGTGTTGAGATATGTTACAAAATATAGACCAAAAATGATTTTTCCATCAGGTCTCACCTATCGTAACCCTCCTCTATTCAGATTTAGGATCGACAACGTAAGTAAACTCAAACTGACAAAAAAAATTTATTTTTTTACTTTTTATTTTTCTTTTGTACACCCTCCAGGCTCCAATCTAATACTATAAATAAATTCCTGACACTTTCATAACATAGATATTAACATTTGTAACAAATTTATTTGAATACTATATTGCAGAAGGTGCTTGTGGTTATGGAGACTTATTCAAGCAAGGGTATGGCCTGGAAACAGCGGCACTCAGCACAGCACTCTTTAACAATGGATCTACCTGTGGAGCTTGCTTTCAAATAAAGTGTGTGAATGCTCCTAAAGCATGCCATCCAGACCAAATCATAACTATAACTGCCACCAATTTCTGCCCTCCAAATTACACAAAAACTACAGACGTTTGGTGCAATCCTCCACAACAACACTTTGATCTGTCATTGCCAATGTTCTTAAAGATTGCCGAGTACAAAGCAGGGGTTGTACCAGTTGTTTACAGAAGAGTCACTTGCCAGAAAAAAGGAGGGCTAAAGTTTGAGATCAAAGGGAATTCTAATTGGATTCTTGTTCTTGTTTTTAATGTGGGAGGTGTTGGAGATGTTGTCAATGTCAAAATCAAAGGATCTAAGACTGAATGGCTACCAATGTCGCGGAATTGGGGACAAAATTGGCAGGCTTCTGTGCAGTTGGGAGGGCAAAGCTTGTCTTTCCAAGTACAAACTAGCGATGGCAAATTGGTTCAATCTGATAATGTTGTTCCTGATAACTGGCAATTTGGTCAGACATTTGAAGCCAAGAATAATTTTTAGTCATCATGTATTTTGGAAAATGAGTAGCTTTTTAGTTTCTAATCAATATAATTTATGATCTTTTCTCTAAGTTTTTTGTTTCCGAATAAATTCTCTGTTTTTGAGTGGACATTGAACAAGGAAGTAACAACAAAAAAAATGCGCCAAAGGTGTGATCTAGCGGTAAATGAAGCACCAGAATAAAATTCAGAGCATCTTGGTATGACAGAGAAATAGGAAAGCTACTTTTCTGTGTCGAACTACTATATCATCTATGGATCTTCATATAACCTTGGTCTTTCAATAATACGAACTCATAAGTCATAACATTTAGACTAGGCTAATTCTTCAGAATTGAGGAAAAGAATCATCAAGATCATTTTTAGTCGGAATTAGAGATAAATTTTACCTCCAGCATTCCTCCAAAGAAGAAAGAGGCCATGTGAACTATAGATAATTACTCATTTAATGTCGTTAAGTAAATATGACTGCTGAACTTTGAGGCTGCCATTTATGACTGCTCTAAGAATTAACAGAAAGAATGAAGAGAGGAAGAAGAAGAATGGTTGATAGAAGAAGAACTTTGAGGCTGCCATTCTGGATGACTGAATCTATATTCAATTGCAGAGTTAATATCTCGGTCACTCAACCAATAGTTTTTTTTCCGTAGAAAGTCATTCAACTTTTTTTTTTATAACGTTAAAGGCACTCAGAGTGACTTTCTAGGAGAAAAATTCTTAGTTAAATAATTTTAAAGTTATAAAAAAAAGTTGAGTGATTTTTTTGTGAAAATAACTGTTTGTTAGTTTGGTGACCATCTGACTTCAATTTGACTCACTCCAATTTTATTTTATTTTAATTGTTTTTTCTTTTTGTGGCTTTTGTTCTTGATCTAATTTCATTCACCTTTTTTTCCCTCATTTTATTACTCCCTCCGTTTCACAAAGAATGACCTGGTTTGACTTGGCACGGAGTTTAAGTAAATAAAGAAGATTTTTAATCTTGTGGTCCTAAATTAAAGTTATGTCAAATGTACAAAATTGTCCTTAATCTTGTGGTCTTAAACATGCCACGTGGAAAGCAAAAAGTAAAATGTTACCAAAAAAGGAAAGAGGTCATTCTTTTTGAAACTGACTAAAAAGGAAGGGAGGTCATTCTTTATGAAACGGAGGGAGTATATTTTTTTCATAATCAAATCTCATTCGTCCTTTTGCTCTTTTTCTTTATTCTACTTTATTAATTTCTGATAATTTTCATTCAATTTTTTTTTTTTATCAAATATATTTTGTTACGGTCTAATTCTACACAACTTCTGATTCCCTTACTTTTGTTCTCTTTTTTCTATAACAACAAAGAAAAGGTAACTAAAATTGTAAATGCCAAATCAATAGTAGTTTCGGTATATAATTATTGTATATTATGATACTCAAATGGTATATATCATATATTAATGATATTATATGAAATTGATTCATTTTTCCCGTAAAATACTACCCAATCATAATCTTAACAGGATATCATATATTGACATAATATCATAAAAGAATGACATTTCACTTCTTCTAGAAAAACACTTAGTATTTTGTGTTATCAATCTAGCATATATCACTTATAGACATGATACCATAGATGATAAATTCATTCTTTTAAAAGAATACTATTCAATTTTTATGATACCCACGCAATATATATCGTATGTGACTAATTTATTCCTTATTAAATTAAAAATATACTACTCAGTCATAATACCAACATAATGCCATATACTTATTGAATATCATAATTCAAGAAATAATATACTATATATATATATATATATATTCAAGAAATAATATATATATATATATATATTCACTATGCAATTATATTTTATGATGCTTTAATTGACTTCCTTTACAAATAATTTGATTATGTTAAATTCACAATTAATTCCATTAAAGACCCAAAACTATAGAGTAACAAACCATTAAATTTCCATTTATCGTACTTTACTCATTAAACTATTGGTCAAATAAGTTATTAACTCCCCCAATTCTATTAGCAAAAAAATATTTATTTCATAGTGAATACTTTGGCTATAAGTATGTCAATAGAAAACCTATTATTCAAAACAAATCACCAAGAGAGTTAAAAACTAGTTTATAGAAAAAATAGTTTAAGCTAAAATGGCTAAACACCAAAGTTTCTTCATTTTGGTTATCACGTTTTTTTTTTTTTTTTTTTAGTTGAAGCATTTGAAAGTAAAGAGGTAGAAGGAAATTTGGATGCCAGGGATGGATTAATGCACGTGCTACATTTTATGGTGACATGGGGGGTGGTCAAACCATGGGTAAGTTACATTTGTACCTTAATTCCTTAGGTATGTTATCGAGATACCATTGTGACTAAGCTAGAAATTATAATTTTTTTTAAAAAAATCAATGAAAGTTATTTAATTAATCATTTTTTATTATATGTGGCTATAACATGGTGTTGAGGTATGTTGCGACATATAGACCAAAAATGAATTTTTCATCAAATTTAGCCTGATGTAGTCCTCAGATTTAGTATCGAAAATGTGAGTAAGCTCACAATAACAAACTTTATTTTTTGCTTTTTAAATTTCTTTTGTACACATTGAATTAAAAAATAAAATAAATTTCTGAAAATATAATATTTTTTTCCTTCAAAATTACCGTTCTCTTAATGGTTGTGTCGAATTCCCAAAAAAAAGATATTTATTTTGGAATAGAGCGAGTATAATATTGACTTTTTTTTGTTGAGTTTAAATAGGGAATACAATGGATTCATATAATTGAATTTTAATTTATTTAAGACTGAGACATAATTACTATTATTATTGTGGTTAAAATAAATTTACCATCCGAAAAGAAATTTTAAAAGTACAAGTTAAAACTTGTTTAGTTGGTGAAATGCCTTTTTATCTCCATTGATAATAATAGGCTAATGGTACATAGTTACTTACCTTGTACCTGTTGTTGGTTGGAGGTGACAAGTATACCATGAAATTAGTTGAGGTGGGCAAAAGCAGGCCCGAACACCATGAACATAAAAAAATAAAATAATAAAATAATAGGCTAATGGTTTGTCACTCACAAGTAATTGAAAAAAACTATGAACCATCTCAAAGGTTTGGAATAGTTATTTTTGGAGAAATATGATGTTATAGAAGCATTTTCACCTATGCATAAAAAATTTCAAAGTTTTTGGTTTGATTTTTCATAATGTGTGAGTCGAGGATCCTTCCAAAACAATCTCTCTATCTTCATGAGGTAAGAATAAGGTTTGCATACACTCTATCCTCTCCAAACCTCACTTGTGAAATTTCATTGGATATGTTATTGTTGATGATGATTTTTCATAACATAGATATTAACATTGGTAAAAAATTTATTTGATAACTATATTGCAGAGGGAGCTTGTGGTTATGGAGACACAATCAAACAAGGGTATGGCCTAGAAACAACAGCACTAAGCACAGCACTCTTTAACAAAGGATCTACCTGTGGAGCTTGCTATCAAATAAAGTGCGTCAATGCTCCTAAAGCATGCCATCTAGACCAAGTCATAACTGTAACTGCCACCAATTTATGCCCTCCAAATTCCAAAACAACTAATGACGGTTGGTGCAATCCTCCACAACAACACTTTGATCTGACAATGCCTATGTTCATAAAGATTGCCGAGCAAAAAGCAGGGGTTGTACCAGTTGTTTACAGAAGAGTCACTTGCCAGAAAAAAGGAGGTCTCAAGTTTGAGATCGCAGGGAATCCCAATTGGATTCTTGTTCTTGTTTTCAATGTGGGAGGTGTTGGAGATGTTGTCAATGTCAAAATCAAAGGATCTAAGACTGAATGGGTGCCAATGTCGCGAAATTGGGGACAAAATTGGCAGGCTTCTGTGCAGTTGGCAGGACAAAGCTTGTCTTTCCAAGTACAAACTAGCGATGGCAAATGGGTTCAATCTGATAATGTTGCTCCGGATAACTAGCAATATGGTCAGACATTTGAAGCGAAGAATAATTTTTAGTGATTATGTATTTTGGAAAATGAGTAGCTTTTAATTTCTAATCAATATAGTTTATGATCTTTTCTCTAAGTTTTTTTTCCCCAAATAAATTCTCTATATTTGAGTGGATATTATTGAGCAAGGAAGGAACAAAAAAAGAAGCCAAAGGTGTGGTCTAGCAGTAAATGAAGCACGAGAACTATCAGGTCTCATGTTCGAATTTCAGCAAAACCTAGAACACTAAGCAATCAGTACTTGAATTGGTGGCGGTAGCAGGTGCAAGAGCTGGCCCAGACATGCTTAAAAGAGTAAGGAACTAAAAAGGTCACTAATAACAAATACTCCAATTAGTAACTAGGGACACATATCTGGAACAAAATTCATATCACCTTGGTATCTTGAAGAAATAGGAAACTTCTTTTCTGTCTCTAACTACTATATCATCTATGGATCTTCATATAACCTTAGTCATTCAGTAATATGAACTCATAACATTCAGCCACTTGAACTTTCTATCTATTTAAGCATTCCTAATACTGCGAAATAGCAGCTTTAGACTAGGCTAATTCTTCAGAACTGAGGCAAAACCAGCGGCAAAATACAAAAAGAATCATCACAGATCCTTTTTAGTCGGAGTTAGAGATAAACTTCACCTCTTATTGCCAAATGCTTGAGCATGACTTCTGGCAAGAATAACCATCAGAGCACCAATTCCAGCAGCCATCCCAGCTCCAAAGCAGAAAGAAGGCATGTGAACAATTGATCTTCCTTTGTTTTGCATCAGCTCCCAATGCAATTGAACATCATCTGCGTGCCATAAGCTCATGTGTACAGCTAGTGTCATTTTTAGATCAGAATCAAGTGGTGTGCTTAGAACTTGTAAGCACATTGGACAAGAAGCTTTCAAAGTCGTTCCTTCTTCCATTATAGCGACTCTCCCAGCAACTGCCATCGCCTTATCTCGCAGTGGCTTTCCAAAGGGCCTAGAAATCTAAACAAGGATTTTAGCTTCAGAAGAAGATAAATTGCAAGATTTGCTAATAAACATGACTTAGTGGCAAGTCAAATTTCAATTGAAGTAACTGGCTTACCATTATAAGCCTACACAGCCGCTTCCACGACATCATCAGCTGCCTCCTCATCTTCTAGGACTGAACTACTGTGAATAATTAAAATGAAAGTTGTTCTCTGCAATGATATTTCAGGAAATGAAACAAATCAAAGTAATGTTTCACGAAAGATCAATAAGTATTTCATGGGCTGTTAAATATTAGCCCGATGGTGAGGTCCAGTGGTTAATGAAGTGGATTGAGAACCACGAGGTCTCACCTCTAAATACTAGCGGAGGCGAAAACATTAGGTTATATCTTCTATGGTAGAAGCAGAAGGTACCCCGTGGAATTAGTCGAGGCACACACAAGCTTGGCTCAGACACCACAGTTTCAAAAGAAAACAATATTAGCCCAATTCATGATTCTAGTTCTGCTAAATGATTTTTTACCTAGTTAAACACAAACCTTAATGAATCCTAGACACAACGATAATCCAAACCTTCGTTCATGCTTAGATAAGGTTAAGAAGGATTTCAAATAATTTATTCATTATCCTAAGAACTATCAACCAAAAAAATTGAAACATCAACAACATACCTACTGTAATCCCACACAAGTGGGGTCTAGATGTATGCAAACGTTACCCCCTACTTTTGTTAGGTAGAGAGGTTGTGCCCGATATTGTGAGGTAGAGAAGTTGTCTCCCATAGACTGTATAACGACGCATTACCGAAACAGGAAAAAAAAAAATTGAAGCATTGCTAAGGAAAGATTATAGATTGCTCTTTCACTAAACTACTTCACGATTCTTCTGATAGCGACCCAACTCAAACTTAAAAGTCAATTTTCTCCATATTTTTTCTCTTTTCCTTACAAAATACTTACCGGCAGCCCATTGATGCTTCAAGGAAATACTCGAAATTACGACAAAAAACGAGTGATTCCACTGTAAAAATTCACACCAACACTACAATGAAAAACGATACTGCAACCGATTTAAGCAGGAATAGAGCAATTTATCCGTTGCTTGGTGTAAAAGTAAACGCAAAATTTTCAAATACAGTTGGAGAATCTACAATGCACCTATCGATTTCTTAGCCAGTTCAAAGTAATGCACATATATTTACTATTGTCTGTGTTAGAGTCTAGAGATAAAAAGAAGGGTACCGTACTGAAGCAACTTCGCCGGAAAAATCTCGCCGACGATCTTTGAATTTACGTATTTATATAATGGATTAATTTGTTGGAAGAGGAGAATTGGGAAAGTTGTCTTGGTGGCGAGGGATGGTCAATCACTTTTTGACTTGTGTAATATGCCATAAATAAAAATTAAGTAAAAAGTTATAATTCATCGACCCTAATATATTTTTATTATGTTTGATTATTTCTTTTCTAAAGAATCTTTCAATAATATTTAAGATTACATAAATACAGTTTTAAAAGTGAAACGTAAATAGAGAAAGAGAGAAATACATTAGTCCCTCTGTTCATTTTTAATTGTCATGATTTGTTTTTTTAGAGTCAAACTATAAAAATTTTGAATAGCATTTTACGATGTATTTTTTCATCATATTGACATGTAAAATTGCAATTTATAATATTATTTGTATAATTTTTGAATATTTAATTTTTTTGTTTAAAATATCAAATTAATGTAATCTAATTTACTTTGAAAATTAGTCAAATTGACTTTTGAAAAGCAGAACATGACAATTAAAATGGACGGAGGGAGTAATTTACATTTAATTTGTAGAGAAATCCCAAAATGCTCCTTGATTTTCGGGCTTAAATATGATCACACCATTAGTGTACTGTGTCCATTTAAGAAAACATTTGCTTATTTCTCTGAGAGGTAAATGTAGTCAAGGGAAAACATGTCCTTTACCGTTGATAATCCCACAAGTGGCGTTTGGAAAGGAAAATGTGTATGCAAGCCTTATTCCCGCAACGTAGAGAGATTGTCTCTGATAAACGGTTTGTGATTCAATTTTTCATTTTCAAGAAAGTGAGCAACTGTAAGATGCAAGACAAACTTGATACCAAGTTGTCACAAGTTTTGTGTATCTTACTTTTTCCACATGCTAATATATTTCGTAGCGCCTAGAGTTTTTCACTCTCACTTAATTTAATGCATGTATTATTTGGTACCATAGACCATAAGCATCGATTATATTTCTCCTGCGATAAACTAAACATTGCATTAGTTACGTGTGAAATAATTTTTAAAACTCTTCCGGCAAAACATTGTACAATTTGATGCCGTAATTTATTTTCCCATTCTCTCCAATTAAACCACAACTTAAGGTTTACATTAATAGACTCGTGAACATTTCACATTGGTGAACTTACACAGTAAAATTTTATATGAACTTCCTTATTAACCGTTTAGACTAAATTTAAACCCATACAAACATGGCCCGTCCAACTTGTTGAAGTGAACGCCTATTTATGGACTGGTGGCAAGTAGTTATTCCAAAACCTGCTTTGGGGGGTTAAATCATACATTATCAAGGCACCAACACACGCATCTAAAAAATGCAGTCATGCAGCAACCTGATTTCTAGTAAATTAAACAGTTAATTGCGTTATAAACAGTTCACTGAATTCACATTGCTTGAATGCAAAATGAGCAAAATACTCTCCAGGAGTGTCATTTTAAGTAAAATAGAGATAGAGATTGACCAAAAATGCTCAATATCTCAAGTTAAGTCAAACCTGTCAAAAATTACTTCCCATTCATACCATGTAAATTTCAAAGCCTGGCTTGATGCGTGACCATTCCTTGCCTGAAGCACGAGTGACCAGAGAAAACCCTGTCATTGACGTTGCTAACAGTTGTTAAGGGGTTCTACTGGTTTAAAGAAATCCTTTCTTTGCAGGGTCCAAGTATCAAAAAGGTACAAACAGGCAACACAAACAACTTCGCAAGCTGACATTCATATTTTACCTACTAAGTTAAGCCTAGGCATCAGATATTTACCCAGAAGATGTGAAATTCAAGTACACTACAACCTGACCTTAAACAATTACCATTACATTCACAACACTGAACTAACTACATATGAGCATCTCTCTATCTCTAACTATGGAGAGAGACACATGGAACGAACAACATTTCTTGACAATTGGCATAATTGGCCTACATGCAAAATGGACTGCATATATTGAATTCGAGGTAGCAATTTAGAGACAGTTCTTTTTGCAATTATCTCTTTATGTGGCTCTATTTCTGCTGCTGCTAGTGCCAGTACATAATTAGCAACAAAACTCCAAGGGATGTGGAGCTAGTGGATTGATGACGAGAATGCGGAAAAAATATTAATTAAATCAATGATCATAGTGAAAGACATTGTACCCTATCAGGAAGATTTTGAGGCATTGGGAGCACAGTTACGTATCTTTGCAGAAAAGGTTTATGGCTACGTGCAGCAGCTATCTGTTGAAGATGACTCAACACCACTGGATTGCCCCCCGACCATGAAACTTTGCAAATCGATAGAAGACTGAGAACTTCTCCAGATCTTGTCCTTCCACTATCATGTCTAATAGTGGTGCACTCTTGTCCAAACTGCACCATAGTGGCAGCAAAATCAGAACCATGTGAATTGACAAGTGTCCTAGTCAGTAACACATCAAAGATAAAATGAACTACTTATATTAATAGGAAGCATTTATGGAAGCAGATATAAGGACAACGGCAGAGTTACTGATTAAAAAAAATAGCAGTGTTGAATTTGTCAGAACAGACTAAATAACTTCATGCACATGGTGTGATTGAAGAAGTGCAGGGCAAGCAAATATGCACTCTCAGGAAGATTTCATCTAAATTAGCACTATTTCTTCATTTCATGAAATGGGAAATAGCAGTACTGATGATAAAAAGACCTGTTACAAAGAAATTGGCATAATTTAACAACGGCTCTCTCAATTGAATTGAAGTATTTGAGACTTTTTACATTGAAATAATAATGACTACAAATATTAATACTTTCATATTTTACCAATACCCACTTATATATGTATCGGTTTTTTTTTCATAATCATTCGATGAAAAAAGTAATACTACCTCCATTTCAAAATAAGTGAATGGTGGAGCCTTTTTTCTTAGTTCAAAATAAGTGACTTGTTCAAAGTTCAAGAGAGCTGTTGGAATTTTTTACCATTTTTGCCACTCAGTTACATCCTCTAGGTGATAAATTCAAGAGAGTTGACTGCTCATATTTATGATTTTACTTTGAATTATTTCAAGATAGTTTGAAAATAACCAAAAGAGCAAAAGTGGAAAGTGGTATTTATTTTACGGACTAAACTTTTTTTCTTAATGGGTGTACATTGTACAACAATTCACTTATTTTGAATTGGAAGGAGTAATATTAAGACAAGCCTACTTCTTTTTTTCCCATTTTATTATATCAAAGTCAAATGAATTTTAGTTTTTTTTTTTAAAATTCACTATGCAAGTATTATGATGCTTTAGTTTACTTCCTCACTCTCTTTTTTATTTTATTTAGTAAACATCTCTATTTACTCAAGACTACAGAGTAACAAATCACTAAATTTCGACTAATCCTACTTTTCTCATTTAACTAGGAGACAAATGAAGTAATTAACTCTCCAATTCTTTTAGCAAAATAAAATTGATGCAGATTTGCTTACTTACAACTTATATAAGCACTTAAATGCAAATACTAATTAATTGGGAAGAATGGCAAGTAATTTAATTTATTTAATTAATTTTCCAAAAATAAACTCCACGGTATCCAATTAAAATATTTATTCTCATTAATGTAATTTCCTTTTTTTCTAAGGGACTTCATTTTAGTTCCGTTTTAAGAGAATATTATGGCTATAAATTGTATGTCCAAAGCAAAACTATTATTCAAAGCAAATCAACCAGCGAGTTGAAACTAATTTAGAGAAAAAAAATTGTTTTAGCTAAAATGGCCAAACACCAAAGTTTCTTCATTTTGTTTATCACATTTGTTGCTATTTTTTTAGCAGAAACATATGTAAGTAAAGAGGTTGAAGGAAATTTGGATGCCCAGGGATGGAAAAATGCACGTGCTACATTTTATGGTGACATGGGGGGTAATGAAACCATGCGTAAGTTTTCCTTGTACCTTAATTCCTTATGTATGTTGTTGAGACACTTATCGAGTGTCGAGACTCGAGACAAAGAAGGTAGAAATTATATTTTTTGAAAAAATATTTGAGATTGAATATATATATATATATATATATATATATATATATATGTTACAACGTGATGTTGAGATATGTTGCAACATATAGACCAGAAATGAATTTTCCATCACATTTCGCCTACTGTAGGCCTCATCCATCCAGATTTAGGATCGACAATCTAAGTAAGCTCACACTAACAGAAGTAAATTATTTTATTTTCATTTACTTTTTCTTTTTCTTTTGTACACCCATCATTCTAATATAAATAAATTTCTAGCACTTTTTTTATGGTCCAAAATGAATAAAATTTTCAAAGGCCAAAGATGTATTTTTTTCATAACGTGTGAGTCGAAGGTGCTTTGGAAATAATCTCTCTACCTTCACGAGATAAGGTAAGGTCTATATCCACTCTACCCACCCGGAAACTTGCTTGTGGGATTCCATTGGGTATGTTGTTGTTGTTGATGATGCTTTTTCATAACATAGATATTAACGTTTGTAACAAATTTATTTGAATACTATACTGCAGAAGGAGCTTGTGGTTATGGAGACTTATTCAAGCAAGGGTATGGCCTGGAAACAGCGGCACTAAGCACAGAACTCTTTAACAATGGATCTACCTGTGGAGCTTGCTTTCAAATAAAGTGTGTCAATGCTCCTAAAGCATGCCATCCAGACCAAGTCATAACTATAACTGCCACCAATTTCTGCCCTCCAAATTACACAAAAACTACAGACGTTTGGTGCAATCCTCCACAACAACACTTTGATCTGTCATTGCCTATGTTCTTAAAGATTGCCGAGTACAAAGCAGGGGTTGTCCCTGTTGTTTACAGAAGAGTCACTTGCCACAAAAAAGGAGGTCTCAAGTTTGAGATCAAAGGGAATCCTAATTGGATTCTTGTTCTTGTTTTCAATGTGGGAGGTGTTGGAGATGTTGTCAGTGTCAAAATTAAAGGATCTAAGACTGGATGGACACAGATGTTGCGGAATTGGGGACAAAATTGGCAGATTTCTCAGCAGTTGGCAGGACAAAGCTTGTCTTTCCAAGTACAAACTAGCGATGGCAAATGGGTTCAATCTGATAATGTTGCTCCTGCTAACTGGCGATTTGGTCAGACATTTGAAGCGAAGAATAATTTTTAGCAGTTGTATTTTGGAAAATGAGTAGTTTTTAATAAATATAATTTATGATCTTTTCTAGAAGTTTTTTTGTTTTCGAATAAATTCTCTATTTTTGAGTGGACATTGAGCAAGGAAGGAACATAAGAAGAAGCCAAAGGTGTGGTCTAGTGGTAAATGAAGCACGAGAACAAAATTCACATCATCTTGGTATGACAGAGAAATAGGAAAACTACTTTTCTGTCTCTAACTACTATATCATCTATGAATCTTCATATAACCTTAGTCGTTTAGTAAATACGAACTCATAATATTCAGCCACTTGAAATTTCAATCTATTTGAGCTTTCCTAATACTTCGAAATAGCAGCTTTAGACTAGGCTAATTATTCAGAACTGAGGTAAAAACAAGCAGCAAAACACATAAAGAAACATCACAGACCGTTTTTATTCTGAATTAGAGATAAACGTCACCTCTTATTGCCAAATGCTTGAGCATGACTTCTGACAATAATAACCATCAGAGCACCAATTCCAGCAGCCATCCCAGCGCCAAAGCAGAAAGAAGGCATGTGAACAATTGATCTTCCTTGGTTTTGCATCATTTCCCAATGCAATTGAACATCATCTGCGTGCCACAAGCTCATGTGTACAGCCAGTGTCATTTTCAGATCAGAATCAAATGGTGTGCTAAGAACTTGCAAACACACTGGACAAGTAGCTTTCAAAGTTATTCCATTATAGCGACTCTTCCAGCAACTGCCATCGCCTTATCCCACAATGGCTTTTCGAAGGACCTAGAAATCTACACAAGGATTGAAGCTTCAGAAGAAGATAAATTACAAGATTTGCTAATAAGCATGACTTAGTGGAAGGTCAAATTTCAATTAAAGTAACCGGCTTTACCATTATAAGCGTACAGAACCACTGCCACGACATCATCAGCTGCCTCCTCATCTTCTAGGACTGGCTACTGTGAATAATCAAAATGAAAGTAGTTCTCAGCAATGATATTTCAGGAAAAGAAATAAATCAAAGTAAAGTATCACGAAAGATCAATACGTGTTTCCTGGGCTGTTAAATATTAGCCCGATAGTGAGATCTAGTGGTTAATAAAGTGGATTGAGAACCACAAGTTCTCACATCTAAATACTAGCAGAGGCGAAAACATTAGGCTCTTTCTTCTATGGTAGAAGCATAAGGTATCCTGTGGAATTAGTCAAGGTGTGCACAAGCTTGGCCCGGGACACCACCGTTATAGAAGAAAACAATATTAGCCTGATTCTAGTTCTGATAAATGAATTTCTACCTGGTTAAACATAAATCTCAGAGAATCCTTAACGGAATGATTATCTAAACCTATGTTTCACACTTAAATATTAGGCTCTATCTTCTATGGTAGAAGCATAAGGTATCATGTGGAATTAGTCGAGGTGTGCACAAGCTTAGCCTGGGACACCACCGTTATAGAAGAAAACAATATTAGCCTGATCCTAGTTCTGATGAATGAAAATTTACCTGGTTAAACACAAATCTCGGAGAATCCTTAACGGAATGATTATCTAAACCTATGTTTCACACTTAAATAAGGTTAATAAGGATTTCAAGTAATTTATTCATCATCCTAATAAATATCAACCAAAAAAACTGAAACAATTACAATATACCCAGTGTAATTCCACAATCACAAGTGAGTCTGGAAAGGTAGGATATACGCAAACCTTACCCTTACAGCCTACCTTTGCGAGGTAAAGATGTTTCTAATAGACCCTCGACACAACGAGGCATTATCAAAACAGGCCAAAAAATAAAATAAAAATTGAAGCATTGATCGAGTTAAATGAAACTAAGGAATATTATACATTGCTTCTTTCACTAAACTATTTCGTGATTCTTCTAATAGCAACCCAACTCAAACTTAGAAGTCAATTTTCTCCATATTTTTCTCTTTTTCCTTACAAAATTCTTACAGGCCCATGCTTCAAATTCAATGAACTACACTATATTAAGCCAAAACGAGAGAATCAACCATAAAAACCCACATTAGCACTACATTGAGCAACAGTACTGCAACCGATTTAAGCAAGAATAAAGCAATTTCTCCGTTGCTTTATGTAAAAATAAAGGCAAAATTTTCTAATACAGCTAGAGAATCTACAATAAACCAATATATTCACTATTGTGTGTGTTAAAGATAAAAAGAAGAGTACCGTGCTGAAGCAACTTCGCCGGAAAAATCTCGCCGACGATCTTTGAATTTACTGTATTTGTATAAATGAAAATTAATTTGTTGGAAAAGGAGATTTGGGAAAGCTGTCTTGGTGGCGATGGTCAATCACTTTTTGACTTATGTAATACGCCATAAATAAATAAAAATAAGTAAAGAAGGTTATAAATTTATCCACCCTAAAATAGTTTTATGTTTGATTACTTCTTTTAAAAGAATCGTTGGAATGATGTTTATAATTGAATGTACATAAGTACAATTTTAAAGTAAAAACTAAAAAGTGATTAGAGTTTACGTTATAAGCTATTTTTCAAATGTAAATTTTAAATTAATGATTTAAAATTTTCATATTAAACATTTCTAATAAAGTGAAAAAAAAAATTAAAAAAAATTATAGCCTAACGGATCCAATTATTTAGTTTGCAAAAGACTTCTCTAAAATAATACAACTCCCAACTTACCATTCATTTTAGGGAAAATTATATATAATAGCAAACTATTAATTCAAATTAAATGTTATAAATATACTTTGATTTAATTGTACCGTATAGCAAATTATTGCTATTTTCGCCACTTTCCCTTGTGGAATCTTGCTCGCCACTCTCGCTTGGTGGCAGTCTCGCTCGCCTCTCTCGCTTTTATACAAACACAAATGTATAAAATGTGTTTGTGTTTGTATAAAGCGAGAGGAAATTGTATATATACATATATTTTTGTTCCCCTCAAATAGCGAATTATACAACTGTTTTTTTTTGTATATGTATAGCGAATTATACAACTGTTTTTTTTTGTATATGTATAGCGAATTATACAACTGTTTTTTTTTGTATATGTATAGCGAATTATACAACTGTTTTTTTTTGTATATGTATAGCGAATTATACAACTGTTTTTTTTTGTATATGTATAGCGAATTATACAACTGTTTTTTTTTGTATATGTATAGCGAATTATACAACTGTTTTTTTTTGTATATGTATAGCGAATTATACAACTGTTTTTTTTTGTATATGTATAGCGAATTATACAACTGTTTTTTTTTGTATATGTATAGCGAATTATACAACTGTTTTTTTTTGTATATGTATAGCGAATTATACAACTGTTTTTTTTTGTATATGTATAGCGAATTATACATATATATATTTGCTATGGAGCGCAATTATACAAACTTTACTATAGCATACAAATATGAATTTTGTGTTTGCTATATGTGAAAGTTGCTCTAAATTTTATACATGTCTTTTGTCTTTTGACATAACAAAATACTTGTAACCTTTTTTAAAAAAAAAATAAAAAATATTATTTTAATTCAAACGAAATCCAGAAAGGGGCTATTGAAAGATTCGAGGGGCAATATAACAACAAAGAATTAGCCTCTTAGTAAGGGCCCGTTTGAATTGACTTAAAAAGTAGTTTTTAAATCAAAATAAAAAGTTAAACTGAAATGACTTTTAAGTCAAAAAATAAAAAGTAGGGGGAGACCTACTTTTGATTTTTTAACTTATTTTAAGTCATTCTTGACCTTGCCAAACACTTCTCAACTTATTTTTAAGTCATTTTTGACTTATTTTAAGTTATTTTTTATATTTGTCAAACACTTCCAAAAATGAAAACCTGACTTAAAAGTATATTTGACCAACTTTTAAGTCAATCCAAACACTCTCTAAATGAGGCTTAAATAAGATCGCATCATTAGTGAAAACATGTCCTTAAAAGGTGATAATGTCATATCCCAATATAATCCCAAGTAAAGTTTAAAGTGGGTAATGTATATGCAAACCTTATTCATGCAAGGTAGAGAAATTAATTTCAATAAACTGTTTTTAGTTCAATTTTTCATTTTCAAGGGAGTGAGCAATTGTAAAATACAAAACAAACTTCATACCAAGTTGTCACAAGTTTTGCGTGTCTTCCTTTGTCCACATGCTAATAATCTATTTCGTCGCGCCTACAATTAGGGGTGTTCACGGTTTGGATAAAAACCGATTCAAATCGAAAAAACCAAACCAAATCGATAAAATAAAACCGATTTTATTTGGGTTTGGTTTGGTTTTAGATTTTTGAAAACCGATAGTATTTGGTTTGGTTATGGCTTTATTCGAAAAAAAACCGAAGAAATAACCGAACCGATGAATTATATACATATATTTTATTAATATACATACTTAATATATTATTTTTATAAACAATTTTAAAGATCTTATACATATATTCATTAAAAATTCTATATAATTTACTTATTGAAAGCAAAAATGCCCAAGATGAAACATTTATCTTATTGATTTCATGTATATGAGTGTCTACGTCAATTCTTTGTGGGACTGAAAATGTTATTGTTTCTTCCTTCTAGGCCAATATAGTGAATTTTTAAAGCTTTATTGATAGTAAATTTAGTGATTGAACATTTAGTAATTTAAGTCATTCTAACTATTTTTCGTTTTGAATGGATTGTTGTCACTTTTTTCACATTTTAAATGAATTGTTTCTTTTATTTTTGTGTATGGTTAATAACCGAACCAAACCAAACCGAAACCGATAATCACCAAACCGATAAATGTATATTGTATTTGGTTTGGTTTGGTTTTGATAATTTTAAAACCGATTAAGTTGGTTTGGTTTTGGTTTTGACCAATAACCGATCCAAACCAACCCGTGAACACCCCTACCTACAATCTTACAGAGAAGGAAACTCCGTAATAAAATTTTGCTTGTGAATGTAGTAGAAAGTACGCTTGAACATCATAATTGATCGAGAATCCGATATGAAATGACTCCAGTCAACAATTCAAAAGTACGACAAAGATCAACGAAGTCGATTTAGCACCTCAATAAT